ATCCATTGATCTATTGGGTTGTTTACATTTTTCTTGCCAATTTATAAAGTTAATTTGTTTATTGTAAACAATCCTGCATCCTCTGATTTACATTCTACAAATGTAATCTTTTTTTATAATATATATTCTAATAAAATATGTTCTAAGTATATATACATATATATATTCTAAAAACATATATATTTCCCAAACAAAAATTTTAAATCTTATATGGTCAAGTATATCAATTTTTATTGCTTCTGGTTTTCTTAATTAAGGAGGTTTCCCCAAACCTTCTATTTTATCTATTTTTTTATAATTAAAATTTTAGCTCACCAGGAAATTTATTAGTATAAGATAGAAGCAATCTTTATTTCATTGTAATGGCTATACAACTTGTCATCGGAATTTATTAAGTATATTATTTATTTCTTGCTAAATTGAAAACCATTCTTGCCATATATTAAATTCTTCCAAGTAATAGGATGTATTTCTAAATTCTCTTATTTGTTGACCTAAGTATCTGTTTTTTACAGCAGTGCCTTATATTATGATTATGGTGACTTACTGATATGTCTTCTGTTATAGCAAAATGATTACTCATTTTTCTTTATCATATTTTCTTACTATTATCTTGTTTCCCTTTATATAAATAGTAAAATCCTTCCATTCAATTTTTCCAAAGTTAGAATCTAATCAGAATTGTGTTAAATCTATTATTTTAAAAATTAACACATTTATGATACTAAACTTGTGCCATCCCATATAGACCATATAGGTTCATCATATAGAACTGCCTTTTGTTAAGTTTATTCTAAAGTAATTTATATCCATTATTACCAATAAGGAGGAATATTTATATTTTAGGTGCTTATTACCAATATTGAAAAAAATCTATTTATTTCTCTTTACCTTTTATCTACTCATATGACATTATTCTAGTATTAAATTTAGGTGTTTATGCTTCATTTCCATGGTTTTTTAGGTATAAAATCACAGTGCAAATGAGATTATGGTAGCTCTTGTGTGTTTATATTCATTTTTTTCCAGCCTACTTAAACAACAAAAATTATAATGATGATGACAATAGTCAGAATATCTACCAAGTTGATGATTCCAATTAAAATAGTAACAAATATTTCATAATTTATAAAAATATTGCTATTCAAATATTTCATAATTTAGGAAGATTTTTTTAGTTTTTTCATGTCATTTTCCTGTTCCTACTTTGCCTAGAACAACTTGTAAGAGGGCCATAGAGAAAAATTTAAAGTTTTGTGAGACATAAGGTCATTTTCACAACTCTATTCCACAGTTGTATCATGAAAGTAGTCACAGACAACACGTAAGTGAATGGACATATTTATGTGCTAAGAAAACTTTGTTTAAAAAAATGGAAGGCAGGTCAATTTGGCCCACTGACCATTAACTGCTGATTCCCAACTGAGACTTTTATTTGGAATTGATACTTAACCTTTAAAAAGGATGCTGTGGGGAGAGGGTTGTTAGGGGACTAAATGGTAATGGAAAAAATACAATAAAGATTAAATCCAAAATAGAAGAAAATTTTATTAAAAAAAAAAAGGAAGAATATCATAATGGTTGAGAGTACAGACTTTAGAAATAGAATGCCTGGAGTTGAAACCCATCTCCACAATTTCTTACCTGTGTAATGTTGGACAAAGTACTTAACCTATCTGCTTCACTTTTCTTCTTGTGAAAATTGCACATAATAATAGCATGTATTTTGGAAGACTGTTATAAGCATTAAAATACCTATCAATCATAAAGTCTTTGTATGTCATACATACAGTAAATGTTATATAAATGCTTAATTAGTAAATAATAAATATCTTTTTGGCAGCCACTGATATGAGCCTGTTTTAAATTGCATAGATTTTTTAGTATTTTGTATTTTATTACAGTATATATATTTTTTGACATTTACATAGGTATATGTGCTAGTGTTCTATTTTTTTTATTATATTTACATTACAGGTGAATCTACTGTATTCTTCTTAGAATATCTTTAACATTTACTGGTATTAAATTTATGTATTTATAGATTAATTCAAATATAATATACCATAATAGTATCCACACTTCTGATATAAAATGTATGGGGGGCTGGTTCCTGTATCAAACAGTTTTTTTTGTACACCAACTGGTTATACTACAAATCAATTCAATTATGACATTAACTGCTTGGAGTTGATGCAGACCCCACAGGCTATAGGCTCAGTCGCACTCACTGCCCTCACTTCAGATGCTAATCACAAGTCCTGTACTTCTAACTGATTGCCATAAATCTGGGGTTCTCATGACCCCATCCTCAGGTTCAGTAATTTGCTAGAATGGATCATAAGGCTCAGAAACACACTTCACTCATGTTTACAGGCTTTTATAAAAGATATTATAAGGATATAGATACACAACAAAAAGAAGAAATATATAGAGTGAGATCTGGAAGGGTCCAGAGTTTGAACTTCTTTCCTATGCAATTGGGGTTTACCATCCTCCCAGGACATAGTTGCATTCATCAATCAAGAAGGACTCCAAACTCCATTATCTAGAATTTTTATAGAGGCTTCGTTACATAGGCATGAATGATTAAATCATTGGCCATTGTTGATTAAGTCAAACTCTAGCCATTGTCTCCTCCCCAAAAGTCAGGGAGGGGACCAAAGTGCCAAATCTCTAATCCTTGTTAGGAATTTCTGGTGGACACTCCCTATCCTGAAGCTACCAAGGGCCCACAGCTACAAGTCACTTCATTACGCTACAAAAGATTTATCCCTCAGAGGAAACTAGGGTTTTAGGATCTGTGTGCCAGAAACCTAAGACAAAGACCAAGTATTTTTTTAAAAAAAAAGAAAAAAGACTCTACTATAATTTGTATCATTTAGAAAGGTATAAAACTTTTAGATCTCTATGTCAGAAACCAAAGGAAAAAAACTAAAGAAAGTGGTGGTGGGAAAATGGAGACAAAAAAAAAAAAAAGAGACAAATGTATTTGAACAATAAAATTCTTTTTTTCATTAAAAAAAATGAAACTTAAAAAAAGAAAAAACTAAAAACTTATTTCTTATGATGTCACAAATACATATTTATTATTTTAATTTGTAAATAAATTTATTATATGAATTTTCTGTTTTTAAAAAGTTATCTAGAATTTAGGTAAGATTTACATAGTCCTGATAACATTTTAGTTGTCATTCATATTTGTGGTCTTTTCCATTAAAAAAACTGTTTTTTACTTTTTGCAGGAATATTGGTGAAGCTTAAAATTTCTTGCTATAAGCATAAAAAAGGGGAAATATTAATAACTGTTAAATCTAGTGCGGTATTGTAGCACATAAATTATCTTCTGTATTGTTCATTCTCAAAGAATTTCAAAACTAAAAATAAATTTAAAAAATAAAATAAGATAAATAAGATAAAATAAAATACTTTACAAGCTACAAATACTTAAATGGCAGTTGTTAGGTAAAACACTAAAGGGTTCAAAAGATTTATGTTCATTCTGTTTGCCCACAATAGTGTTATATAACATAAAACCTCTAGAGCTCAGTAACTTAAACAATAGGCATTTGCTCTCATACTTATGCATTTGCAGGTCAACTATTTCTCGGTGGATATATACATGGGCTCAGATAGATGGCTCTGATGTAGGATAGAAGTTGGCCCCAGACCTGCTCCAGATATGCTCATCCTAGAGCTGTAGAAAGAACAGCTACCTGGATCATGATTTTTTCTAGTGGCTGATCACTGGAGAGCAAGAGCCAGGCCAAACCACTTAGCCATGTTTAAGGTCTCTGCCCATTGTCATATAACTAACATTCATTTCAATTGGTCTAACAATTGGACTAACATTCAATTGGTCAAACAAGTCACATGGCCAAACCTAATCATCAATGTTCAGGGAAGTATCCTGGGCCTTCAGTGAGAGGAGTGAATGGATATTGATGAACAGTAATCCATGCTATCACAGTTTCCATATTAAAAGTTTATTTCAGGTTTGTTAATAACCACCCACAAAGGAATAAAAAGAGTAAACCATTTTTAATTTCCCAACATTTATGTAGCAGCTCCCAGTCTGAGCTAGGGTTTCAGAGAGTGTTGCCTGCACATGTGCGACCTTGTGTATATTTGAAAAGACCACTTCTCTTCCTGGGTTCACACAACCCTATGTGTATACACCATGGTGAGCGTGGCTCCCTACAGGCCCACATGCCCACCAGGTGAGGTGCGTTTGTCCAGCTGTGGTCTTTTCAACTCTTTATGATGGCCCTGGACTTTCCTCAGGCAGAATTGTGAATGAGAAAAATTTTACTTTAGAGCTTTTTTGCATATACCCTCCCTCTTCTGTTGTCCCCGCACTGTCCTGTCGTCCAGTCATACCCCAACCCTGGACCACTGGTCCAGGAAACTTCCTTCACTCAAAATTGCCAGTCCTCTTTCCCAGGCACTTAGCACTCCTGTTTGCCTACTGACAGTGGTGAGTGGTAATATTCCTCCCAGCACCCTGAAACACCACCTATGTAAGCTCCCTGTGCTTGTCTTAAAATAGATGTGTCACATGGAGTTTAGTTTGCTACCCTTCTGATGGCTTTTAGGAATTTCTTTTTTTTTAAAATTTTTATTGTTGTTCTATTACAGTTGTTGCCATTTTTGCCCCATTACTCACCTCTGCCCTAAGAAATTCCATAATTGTATCTTTTCATGCTTAAACTTTGTTTTAGATCAGTTCAAATGATTCATTACTCTCTACATGAATAAAATGTTAAATATTTCAATAAAATTGTTTTCATATGGTTCTCTGTAGCAAAGAAATAATTTTTTTCATGTATCTATAAATTGATACAGGAATTTATGTGCATCTAATCAGATACAATGTTCATAGATATGTATTTGTATTGTACATAAGTTTAATAGTGTATGTTTCATTTTATTCCAATTTTGTAAGTATAATAGATTTATTTTGTAGAATTCTTTAAGACTGTCATTTTATTTCAATTTAGATTAAATCACTTGATGACGAAGAAGTGGTTGGCAAGATTTCCAAGCAGTGGACTGATTTTGTGAGAGAGTTTTGCACAGATTACAGTAATTTTGATGTTCATTTCTATTTAGACCTTGATGTGAAAACAAAAGCTGTCATGCTTGGCGCATGTTTCCTCATTGTAAGTCTATTCTTGCTAATCTTGGATATTTCTTTAATATCATTCTATAAATATTCAGTAGATTGTACATTTTTTAATGACATGCTTAAATTTATAGGTTTGATTCAAAGGGGGTCCTATTTGATCCTAGCTCTGAAATTCCATTTTCCCCTGATAGTCTAGATTCACAGGTGACTAGATCCTTGGGAAATTCTACTGTTTGGAATGGCAGTAAAAGGTCCTTGTGTGTTACAGAGAGGCCCTGGTCTTTGGGGCTTCTATTTAAAAATTAAAGCAGGTGCTTTGGGTAAGACTTCAAATATGAGCTTACATGGACTACAGCTCAGTGAAATGGGGAGATTTAGTCCTGATTTGTTATTCAGTTAAGCCTTCTACTGTGGGAATGTGAACTGCAGTAAGAGTGTGCATCCAATCAATAAAGTCACCAGATAGAACTGGCAGTTGGAAGGAAACATGTAGGATAGACAGTGATTCTGGACTTGTCTTCCACTAAATCACTCAGGGAGATTTTTTAAAAAAACCAAGTACCAAATCATACCCTAATTCAACTAAATCTGAAGCTCACAATAGCTCCCCAGGTGATTCAATATGCAGCCAAAGTCAAGGACTCCTGGGACAAAGCAATGACTCTCAACCTTAGCTGCATCTTAGGTAGTTTTTCAAACTCCCTGTGTCAAGACTGCACCCAGATAGTAAATCAAAATCTCTGGAGATGGGACCAAACCTTCAGCTGTTTAGTTCACTCCCAAGTGATTCCAATGTGCAAGCAAGGTTTGGAATCACAAAATGAGTATCTTAAACATTGACTTGAGGGAACAAATAAAAAAAAGTATGAAATGAAAGTGTTCAGTAAAAAGAATACAGTTATTTCAACAAATAATTATCAGGAAAATAAAAAGATAAAAATAAAATGAAAAAGGGATAGACATCAACCTAATAGTTTGTTGACTATTTTGGTTGAATAGTTTGTTTGGATATTGATTCAAATAAATCAATTTAAAAATATTTACAACACGTTAGGGTAATTTAAACATTAGCTATCTGCCCTGGCCAGTGTAGTTCAGTTTGTTGGACTGCCATCCCATAGACCAAAGGCTCGTGGGATGCATACCTAGTCAGGGTGAATATGCAGGTTCCATCCCTGGTCTGGACAAGTAGAAGGCACCGATTGATGTTTCTCTCTCACATCAATGTTTCTCTCTCTCTCTCTCTCTTCCCCTTTCTCTCTAAAGACAGGAAAATGTGAAATGTGTTGTTTTTAGGGAAGAGGAAGTGTTTAGATCAATGAGAAATGGGGCTGGGTTGATGGTGGGCTTATTACTAAATGACTAAGGGCTTCCGCTAAAGGATCTTCAAAGATCAGGAAACTTTTGCCCTGATTGGGTGGCGTGGTTGGAGTGTTGACCAGTACACCAAAAAAGTTGCAGGTTCAATTCTCAGTCAGGGAATATACTAGGTTGCAGGTTCAATCGCCAGTAGTACGTGATTGGGGACAACTGATTGATGCCCCCCTGCTCTTGCTCTCTCTCTCTGTGCCCCTCTTCTTCCTCTCTCTCTAAAAATCAATAAACATATCCTCTGGTGGGGGCGAAAAGGTCAAGCAACTTTTTATAGAGAATTGTAATTCATTGAGAATTGTTTCATTTAATGTTAATTTTAAACTATGTTTAACTGTAATAGTTATAAATCAAAATTTTAGAAAGATACATCTTGGTGTCTATGTGAGGAATAAATCTGAGAGGTAAAATTGCAGTAGTGCATTTGCTAGTGATTAGCAATAAGGATAAAATTGTTCCATTGAAGGATTTTCTCATAAAGAAAATGAGAGATGTAAGAGATATAAATTCCATAGGAATTGGCTGAAGTCATAGGGGTAGAGGTCTGTATAGACACTGATGAAATGAAACAAACTGGGTAACATAGTGGACAAAATTGGAAGACAAATGAAACTAACACACAAAAAAATTCTACCTCTTAAAAAGGCTGTCATTATAATTTTTTTTTAAGTTTTAGATGGAACTCTAGTCACAGAAAAAATTCTATTACTAGAGAGGGACTAAAAAAGTTGAGTAAGATAGATTGAAAGAGGAAGATTTTGAGGGGACTAGAAAAGGCAAAATATATTGAAATTACCAGAAAATAAATAAATTCATGCAGATATCAACAAATAGAATTATAGGATTTAATTTCTGAAAAATGGAAAGCTGAAGGTAGAGTTTATATAGCTATAGACTCTTCCTAGATTATTCACTACAGTTAAATATCCTTGTTTAACAGCTCTATTACTGCTTTCCTCAGAAATTTTAGAATTTCTACATCAGAGAATTGTCTGTTTTGCTGCTGAGAATTCATTTCTATATTTTTTGTTTTTATCTAGGATTTCATGTTTTATGAAAAAAAGTCATGTCCTAAAATAATCCGTACATTTCTGAAAGCAAGATTGTGTTAGTGTATTAATGAATGTCTCAAGATTTGAAGTATATATAACTGATTGGACTGTCTAAAAGGACAATCAGTGTTTTTCTTAAAAATAATTATACCATGTTTGAATTACTTCGATGCCTCATAGTTCAGGTATGTGATATCACTTTCAAATTCTATAGTTTATTTTCTATGTAATTGCTTATAAATGTTTTTATACATTTTCTCTGAATGTTCATTGTGTATTTGGGAAAAAGTACATAGAACATTTTACTTTCAAGAAAAGTTAAATATAATGAAAATTTATGAATATAAAACAAATACAAATTTTTCTTTTTCCTAATAATATGCATATTAACTATTATTTGAACATAATTATAAAGGAGACTAAAATTATGTTAATGTTTAACTGAATATACAGTATTTGCAGGATAACATTAGTTGGTACAAAGGACATAAATTATAACTAGATTTAATAAAGTATAATTTTATGTTACAATTTCATTAATAGTCTATTTTGTGTATAAAAATTAAAAAAAGACTATAATTCAGAAACAGTTTTGCATAAGGCCTGCCTAGCTCTTGTCCCTGTCCCTACCCATCCGTTACCTCTTATGCCTTAGCTAACTAAATTTTTTAGGCCGACGTTTCTGCAACAGATCTTTTCTCCTCCAAACTTCATCACTACTTATATCTTAATTCCTCAACTGTCAAATGGACATAACAGTAGCTACTTCATGTGGTCAATGTGAGGGTTAAATGTTTTAATGTAGTCAAGTTACTTGAGCAGGTTTCTGCAGTAAACCAAAGCAGAAAATGAAAAATGCATTGGTGTTAGTAATGATCATTGGTTTTACAATGAGAGAAGTGGCTCTATCCAATATATAAAACTTAAGCTAAATTGTATTTCTGTATTGTGGCTTTAACTGACATATAAAATTTATTCTTAATCCACAGATGAAGACTGATTCTCTTCTTAGAAGAGAGAAGATGTCTTCATACAAAATGCCAAACTAGGAAACCATTATTATTTCAGAACAGGGTAGAATATCATCTGGGCACTGAAGCCTTGACTGCCCTCCTTAGCTTCATGGCCTCAAAATGTGGTAAGTCAAGAAAGAAGGAGGCAAATATCTGTAGCATGAGACCAGATGAAATATTATTAACTGAACAATACAGGATTTGAACTGAGAACTCTGGATTTATAAGCAGAGTTGGCCATAAGATGATACCCAGTAGAGTCAACTGGCCATAGACTTCTGAATTTACTTCTCCCTATACTAAGCATTCAAGTTAAACTTCAATTTACCTTTAATTTTATGTAGAATAAATGTGCTTAATTGTGCCAAGGGATAACTTATAAATTTACCTAAGTTGGGAACCAACTAGGTTTGGAAAACAGATGCTTGATGCCAGCTTGCCTATGAAAGGCATTTTATTTCTCCCTATAAGATACTTAATTTATAAACAAAATAGTAACTACACAGTTTTGCAACACACAATTCAACTAAGGTTTCTGACATTATATAGTATGAAAGATCCTCTTTCCTCTATTTGCCAGTAACATCTTTTTCATTTTCATCTGAGTTCTCCCCTCCAGTGCCTTAAATCCATATTTCTACCATCAATCTGTTCATGATGATGCAAATATTCTCTAAGATAGTATGTATCATGTTCCTCAATTCCTCCTAAGAACTGACAGTTATTAACATCCATATTTCTATGAATAGTCTATATAAGGCAATCTTAGCTTTTTAAAAATCAAACTCCTCAAAATTTTTCAGTTTCTGTCTACTTCTAAATCCCCAAACTAGTTCTACATGTTTATGTATTTGTTATAGTAGCCCCATACTTCCAGAAACCAAAATCTGTATTAGAGTCTTACTGCTGCTATGACAAACCACCAAAAACTTGGTGGTTTTAAACAACACAAATTTATTTTCCTATAGTTCTGGAAGTTAAAATCTGAAATGGGTCTTAATGGGTCTTGTGGATTGAATGTTATGTCCCCATAAAATCTGTAGTCAATCCTTAATACTAATGTGACTATATTTAGAGATGAGGTCTCTAAAGTGGTAATGAAGATTACATGAAGATAAAAGGATGGGGCTCTAATCTGATAAAAAGTGTTTTCATAAAAGGAGACCTTGCTCACAACTCTCTTTTCTGTATCCATGCACTAAGAAAAGGCCTTCTGAGGACATAGCAACAAAAAGTGGCCTGTGTAAGTCAGGAAAAGAGCTCTTACTAGAAACCAACCATGTTGGCCCCTTGAACTAAGACTTCCACATCTGTTGGAAAATAATATACTAGATTAACATCAAGGTATTGGAAGATTTTTATTCTTTCTGGAGGCACCAGTGTAGAATCCTTTTCCTTACCTTTTCCATCTTTAGAGAGATCCATTATTCCTTGAATAATGGCCTCTTTTCATCTACAAAACCAGTAAATGCTTCCATTGTAACGTTTACACTTCTGACCCCAATTCTTCTGCTATTTTCTCCTATATTTGAAGGACCCTTGGGCTTACTTTGTGCTCACCTGTATAATCCAGGATAATGTTCCCATTTTATGGTTACTTGATTTGTAACTTTATTTACATCCACAACTTAATTCACCATTGCTATGAAACATAACATTGGGTAATGTGTACGTCTTTTCAGGGCCATTATTCTTCCTATAATAGGAACTCAATCACCCAAGCACCTAGGAATGCTTTCAGAAATAACTGAGCTGTGTTCAGCTAATTTAAAAATGTGTTGAGAAGACTGGTTCTTTTATAAACTTAAATAGAACCACCTTCCATGCTGCACCCTAAACATTCAAGTGACTGAAAACACCCATAAACTTCGTGATTATATATGGAAGTATGATTAAAACCAAAAGCTTTATTTAAGAAAAAATGTGTAACTGGTATAACTTATTTTTGTCAATTGTTTTTCTTTTTTTTAATATTGGAAGATTTTTCTTTTTATTGTTCAAATACATTTGTCTCTATTTTCCTGCCACCACTTTCCTCTGACCCACCCATGCCCACCTCCCACCCTCAATCCTTCCCCACTTTGGCTTTGTCCATGAGTCCTTTATACGTGTTCCTTGATTTGACCCTTCTCCTTCTTTTCCCCATTACCCTTCTCTCTCCTTCCCTCTTGTTAATGTCGGTTTCTTTTTTCTTTCAATGCTGCTTGTTATATTTTCCTTGCTTGTTTGTTTTTTTCATTAGGTTCTACTTATAGGTGAGATCATATGGTATTTGTCTTTTACCCCCTGGTTTATTTTGCTTAGCATAGTGCTCTCTGGTTCCATCCATGCTGTCATGAAGGGTAGTAGCTCTTTCTGCTGCATAGTATTCCATTATGTAAATGTACCACAGCTTTTAGATCCACTCATTCACTGATGGGCACTTAGGTTGCTTCCAGCACTTGGCTATTGTAACTTGTCCTGCTATGAGCATTGGGATGCATAGGTTCTTTTGAATTGGTGTTTTGGGATTCTTAGGGTATAGTTCCAGCAGGGGAATCACTGGGTCAAAAGGCAGTTCCATTTTTAACTTTTTGATGAAATTCCAAACTGTTTTCCACAGTGGCTGCACCAGTCTGCATTCCCACCAACAGTGGACTAGGGTTCCCTTTTCTCCACAACTTTGCCAGCACTGGTTGTTTGTTGATTTGTTTATGATGGCCATTCTGACTGGTGTGAAGTGGTATCTCATTTTGGTTTTAATTTGCATTTCTCTGATGTCTAGTGATGATGAGCATCCTTTCATATGTCTCTGGGCCCTATATATGTCCTCCTTGGAGAAGTGTCTGTTCAGGTCCTTTGCCCATTTTTTAATTGGGTTGTTTGTCTTCCTGGAGTGGAGTTGTGTGAGTTCTTTATATATTTTGGAGATCAAATCCTTGTCTGAGGTATCATTGGCAAATATATTTTCCCATACAGTGGGTTCCCTTTTCATTTTGCTAATGTTTTCTTTAGCCGTACAGAAGCTTCTTATTTTGATGAAGTCCCATTTGTTTATGTTTTCCTTTATGTCCCTTGCTCTAGGGAATACATCAGTGAAAATATTGCTCTGTGGAATGTCTGACAGTTTCCTGCCTATGTTCTCCTTTAGGAGTTTTATGGTGTCACAACTTATATTTAAGTCTTTTATCCATCTTGAGTTTATTTTTGTGTATGGTGTAAGTTGGTGGTAGAATTACAGTTTTTTGCATGTAGCCGTTCAGCTCTCCCAACATCATTTGTTGAAGAGGCTTCTTTTGTTCCATTTTATCCTTCTGCCTCCTTTGTCAAATATTAATTAACCATAGAGACATGGGTTTATTTCTGGGCTCTCTATTCTGTACCATTGATCTATGTACCTGTTCTTATGCCAGTACCAGACTGTTTTGATTACAGTGGCCTTGTAATATAGTTTGATGGCCAGTACTGTGATTCCCTCCTACTTCATTCTTATTCCTCAAAATTGCTGCAGCTATTCAGGGTCATTTATGGTTCCATATAAGTTTTTGAAATGTTTGTTCTATATCTGTGAAATACATCATTGGTATTTTAATAGGAATTGCATTGAATCTCTAAATTGCTTTGGATACTATGGACATTTTGATGATGTTAATTCATCTAGTCCATGAACACGATATATGCTTCCATTTATTTGTGTCTTCCTTAATTTCTTTCTTCAGTGTTGTGTAGTTTTCTGAGTACAGATCTTTTATCTCCTTGGTTAAGTTTACTCTTAGATACTTTATTTTTATTGTTGCTATAGCAAATGAGATTTTTTCCCTGATTTCTTCTTCTTCTCTTTCATTGCTGGTGTACAAAAATGCCTTTGATTTCTGAATATTGACTTTGTATCCCGCTGTTTTGCCAAATTCACTTATTAAGTTGAGTAGTTTTTTGGGGGAGCCTGTGGGGTTTTCTATGTACACTATCATGTAATTGGCAAACAATGATAGTTTTACTTCCTCTTCCAATGTGGATGCTTTTTATTTCTTATTTTTTTTGTCTGATCTCTGTGGCTAGGACTTCCAATACTATGTTGAATAGAAAAGGTGAAAACAGAAGTTCATTGTTTTGAACTTAGTATCTGATAGTTTAGTTGCTTCTATTTCATTTAGTTCTCTTTGTGGGGATTACTTCTTTCCCTTTGACTGGGAAGTGCTTCTTTGTCTTTGCATTATTTGTGAGACTCTTCTGTTTTGCTTCTGCTTCTTAAATTTATCTGTTTTAGGATTAACCAGAGAGTCCTGGAGCTGACTTCCTCCCATTTCTGTAGTCTCCATTTTGCTCTGGCAGGTGATGCCACCAAAGAGCCAAAAGCGGGGAAAGCACAAAATAGAAGACCCTAAACTGACCAGTAGTGGGGTGCCCGATGGACGGAGGGCCAGAGGAGTGCGCGAGGTTGTGAATAAGTGCCCCTGGGCTGGGGCAAGAGCGCGCATACCCAGGCGGGCAGGGGATCCTGCCGGCCCAGGAGCACGCTCCAGGAGCAGGCTTGAGAGTGCGGAGCGATCCACAGAAATAGTGGTTCCCTGGCCGAAGGGGTCACAGAGCTGCCCAAAGCAGGCATCAGACACAGACAGTAGACTCCTGGAAGGCTCAAACAAATGCCCCAAGGTCATATAAGATCAACAACTGACATAATCAGAGGCAGGCCCAGAGAGAAAAGAAAAAAAAGTAAAATAAAACAAAAATTTATAAATAAATAAATAAATAAATAAATAAATAAATAAATAAATGAAAAGACCCGCCTACTACCATAGAAGTTTAATCCACAAAGTCAGGAAATCTAGACGGGTCAATTGAAGCAGAAGGAAAAATAAATAAATAAATAAATTACTTAATAGACTCTCACAAAAATGGGAAGAAAAAGTAGTTCCCATCAAATGAGTGGAAAACGGGAATCCCCACAGAGAGAGCTAAATGAAATAGAGGCAAGAGAACTATCAGATATTGAATTCAAAACAATGGCTCTAAGGAATCTCAATGAGCTCAGCCAGCTCCAAGATAACTATGAGAAACTGCAGAGAAACTATCAGGATCTTACAACAAACTATATCAACCTGGAAAAGGACATAGAAACTATCAAGAAGACACAAGACGATATGAAGAATACCATTTCTGAATTGAAGAACACAGTAGAAGGAATCCAAAGCAGGCTGGATAAAGCCGAGGATCGAATCAGTGAGATGGAGGATAAGGTAGAAAAAAGCTCCCAGAAAGAGCAAGAAATGGAAAAAAGACTCAAAAAGAATGAAGAGGCATTTAGGGGAAATGCAGGACAACCTGAAAGGCAATAATATCTGCGTAATAGGGATACCAGAAGGAGAAGAAGAGGAGCAAGGGATAGAGAACCTCTTTGAAAAAGTAATGGTGGAAAATTTCCCCAATTTGAGGAGAAAAAGGGTCTCATGGATCCAGGATGCACAGAGGGCCCCACTCAAGAGGGACCCAAGGAGGTCCACCCCAAGACACATCATCATTAAAATGGCAACTATCAAAGACAAAGAGAGACTCCTCAAGGCAGCAATTGAGAAGGAGAAAGTAACATACAAGGGGGCCCTGATACCACTAGGAGTTGACTTCTTAACAGAAACGCTACAAGCCAGAAGGGAATGGCAACAAATATGCCAAGTAATGAAAAGCAAGGGCCTACAACCAAGGCTGCTCTACCCAGCAACCGTCTCCATTAAAAGAGAAGGGGAAATAAGGAGTTTCCCAGACAAAGGCTAAAAGAATACATCTCTACCAAACCAGCACTCCAAGATATGCTCAAGGGACTGGTTTAAGAAGATGAAGGAAAAGAGTGAGAAAGAGAAAAACACAGGTACAAAGAGAAAAAATGAATAGGTTTCTTTCAGTAAGAACTCTCAATGTAAATGGACTAAATGCCCCAATTGAAAGACACAGGATGGCTGAGTAGATAAGAAAACATGACCCACACATACGCTGCCTACAAGAGACCCACCTCAGAGCAAAAGACCTACACAGATTGAAAGTAAAGGGATGGAAAAAAATATTCCAAGCAAATGGACAAGAGAAAAAGGCAGGGGTTGCAATACCTATATCAGACAAAATAGATTTCAAAACAAAGGCCATAAAAAGAGACCCAGAGGGGCACTTTATAATACTTAAAGGAAGAATCTATCAAGAAGACATAAACATTGTAAACTTATATGCTCCCAATATAGGAGCCCCCAAGTATATAAGGAAAATCTTGGATGACTTTAAAAAAGATATAGACAGCAACACACTGATAATAGGGGATTTCAACACCCCACTGTCAAAAATGGACAGATCTTCCAAACAAAACATTAATAAACATATTTTGGTGCTGAATGAAACACTGAATCAAAGAGACTTAACTGACATATATAGAACCTTTCATCCCAAAGAAGAAAAATACACATTCTTTTCAAATGTTCATTGCAGTTTTTCAAAGACAGACCACATGATAGGACACAAAGCAAACCTCAGCAAATTCAGGAAAATTGAAATAATACCAAACTTTTTCTCAGACCACAAGGGCTTGAATCTGGAAATCAACCTCAAAGAGAAACTTCAAAAACTTGCAAACTCATGGAGACTGAACAGTACACTATTAAACAATGAATGGGTCAATAATGAGATAAGAGAAGAAATCAAAAAATTTCTGGAAACAAATGAAAATGAACAGACAACAGTCCAAAACCTATGGGACACAGCAAAGGCGGTCCTGAGAGGGAAGTTCATAGCAATACAGGCTTACCTTAAAAAGATAGAAACATTTCAAATAAAAGACCTAACACTACAACTTCAAGAACTGGAGGAAACAACAACAAATAAATCCCAGAGCAAGGAGAAGGAAGGAAATAGTCAAGATTAGAGCAGAACTGAATGACATAGAGACGAAAAGAACAATTCAAAGGATCAACCAATCCAGAAGGTGGCTCTCTGAAAAGATAAATAAAATCAACAAGCCTTTAAGCAGACTCATCAAGACAAAATGGGAGAGGACCCAAATTAATAATATCAGAAATGAAAGAGGAGAAATAACAACTGATAGCACAGAAATACAAAGGACTGTCAGAAACTACTATGAACAATTATATGCCAAGAAATTGGAAAACCTTGATGAAATGGACAAATTTCTAGAAAAGTATAATCTTCCAACACTGAAGGAGGAAAAAACAGAAAGCTTGAACAAACTGATAACAGTTGGGGAAATTGAAGCAGTAATCAAGAAACTCCCGGCACACAAAAGCCCAGGGCCGGATGGTTTCCCAGGAGAATTTTACAAAACATTTAAGGAAGAGCTAACCCCTGTCCTTCTCAGACTATTCCAAAAAATCCAAGAGGAGGGAAGACTCCCAGACTCCTTTTATGAGGCCAGCATCACCCTGATCCCAAAACCAGATAAAGACCCTACAAAGAAAGAAAACTACAGGCCAATTTCACTGATGAACATAGATGCCAAAATCCTCAACAAAATATTGGCAAACCGCATCCAACAATACATTAAAAAGATTATCCACCATGATCAAATGGGATGCATCCCAGGGATGCAGAGATGGTTCAATATACACAAGTCAATAAATGTGATACATCACATAAATAAAAGAAAAGAAAAAAAACCGCATGATCATCTCAGTAGACCCAGAAAAAGCATTTGATTAGCTACAGCACCAATTTATGATCACAATACTGGACATCAAACTATATTACAAAGCCACTATACTCAAAACAATCTGGTACTGGCACAAGAACAGACCCATAGACCAGTGGAACAGAATAGAAAGCCCAGAAATAAGGCCAGGTCTGTATGGGCAACTAATATTTCACAAAGGGGGCAGAAGCATAAAACAGAGCAATAATAGCCTCTTCAACAAATGGTGTTGGGAGAGCTGGACGGCTACATGCAAAAAATTGAAATTGGATCATCAGCTGACACCATACACAAAAATAAACTCAAGATGGATAAAAGACTTAACTATAAGTCGCAACACCATAGAAGTCCTAGAGGAGAACATTGGCAGGAAACTCTCAGATATCCCACGCAGCAATTTTTTCACTGATATGTCTCCTAAAGCAAGGGACATAAAGGAAAGAAGAAACAAGTAGGACCTCATCAAAATAAGAAGCTTCTACATGGCTAAAGAAAACATCAGCAAAATGAAAAGGGAGCCAACCATTTGGGAAAATATATTTGCTAATGATACATCAGATAGAGGTTTGATCTCCAAGATATATAAAGAACTCACTCGACTCCACTCAAAGAAGACAACGATCCAATCAAAAAATGGGCAAAGGACCTGGGCAGACACTTTTCCAAGGAGGAGATACAGAGGGCCCAGAGAAATTTGAAAGGATGCTCAGCATCACTAGCCATCAGAGAAATGCAGATCAAAACCACCATGAGGTACCACCTCACACCGGTCAGAATGGCCATCATAAACAGATCCACAAACGACAGGTACTGGCGAGACTTGTTGAGAAAAGGGAACACTAGTACACTTTTGGTGGGAATGCAGACTGGTGCAGCCACTGTGGAAAACAGTTTGGAATTTCCTCAAAAAGCTGAAAATGGAACTGCCTTTTGATCCAGTGATTCCCCTGCTGGGATTATACCCTGAGAACACCAAAACGCCAATACAAAAGAACCTATGCACCCCAATGTTCATAGCAGCACAATTTACAATAGCCAAGTGTTGGAAGCAACCTAAATGCCCATAAGTAGATGATTGGATCAAAAAGTTATGGTGCGTTTACACAATGGAATACTACACAGCAGAAAGAAAAAAAGAACTAAACTTCGCGACAGCATGGATGGAACTGGAGAGCCTTCTGCTAAGTGAAATAAGCCAGGGGGCAAAAGGCAAATACCATATGATCTCACCTATAAGCGGAACCTAACCAACAATACAAAGATGCAAGGAAAATATGACCAGTAACACTGAAAGGAAAAGAAACCAACAGAGACAAGAGGGAAGGAGGGAGGTGGGGCGAGGAAAAGGAAGGGAAGGGGAAAGTTAAGGAACATATTGCAAGTACTCATGGACAAAACCAAAGGGGAAGAGTTGAGGGAGGGAAGGTGGGAGGGAGGGGACAAGGGAAAGTGGTGGGGGGAAGGCAGAGAAAAATGTATTTGAAAAAATAAATTAATTAATTTAAAAAAATGTATCTGTCTTGATTTCTTGACTTTGTGTTATGAACATCTATGGAGGAGACCTTTGAGATTCAGCGGTGCAATCTCCTTGATATCTTGAACTTACTGCTTTTTGGATGCCTTTTATGCCATTTATGTTAACTCTCTGGAAGTAATTGAGTTTTGATTGTTGTTTGGTCATTCTTTGATGGGTCCTATCCTCCAGCTGGTTGACTGGGGGTCATTTTGCCCACCACGTTTTGTGTACTTTTGTGCAGGTGCTGCCAGAACAAAACCACAAAGCCCAGGAAACAAACCCACATCAGCAAAAATAATGTCCCCCTGCAATCTCACTATCAACAGCAAATGAACCAGTAATAATAATCCTGTAAAGAGATTAAGACTTTTATAAGAAAGGAGAGAGATAAACTTTTAGTATAAAATGTAATGATTTAATATGCAGAATCTTGATGGACCTGAAATAAATGTTAAAAAATTTATGTTGTAAAGAAAATATCACAAATCATGGAGAAGACCACAGTGGATTTCGTCTCAGTAGCCTCTGCTATTTACCACTGTTTTTTCTTTCTGGATTTGCCTCTGATGATGTCAGATGCTGACCCTGTCTGACTGTAGACAGTCTGTTCGAGACTTCCAGGAGTCTACTGTCTGTGGCTGTCTCCTTTAGCTGTTAATCTGGTCACTCTAAAGTCAGAATCAGGCTTAGGCACCACAGGACAGAGCAGAATCCCTCCTGGGGGCAGGGCTATCATGTCTTCTCAAGATGCTGCCACTCAGGGGAGTGGTCTGCCTGAACCAAATGGCTGCTGCCGTATGGGGGAGGAGTCAGCACTGGGATCCCGCCAGCTTCTCTCTCCGTTCTCTCCCCAAATCCTCTGTCTTCAGTTTCTCCTCAAGTGTCTCTAGAGCCCTCTGTGCCCTCTTTAGCTAGGGATCTACTCTCTGTGGCCACCACTCTGCACTCAGCAGCCAGGCTTAGTCACCACAGACCAGTCCAGAGTCCCTTCTGGGGGCGGGGCTATTATGTCCTCTCATGCTGCTGCTGCTCAGGGGAGTGGTCTGCCTGAACAAGATGGCTGTTGCCATACGGGGGATGAGTCAGCACTAGGATCCCACCAGCTGTTCCCTCCATTCTTTCCCTGAAAGCTTCTTCCCCAGTCTCTCCTCAGATGTCTCTATCCCACTCTCCCCTGCCTTTGCCAGACACCAGGGTAAGTGGCTGCCAATAAAAATTTAAGCATTGGCCCTTTAAAAGTCTCTTCGCATCTCCAGCCTCCTGTCTGGCAGAGAGCAACCCTGCCACTTTTGCAGCTGGCTGTTATCTCTGTGTTTTTTTGGACTCTGGTGCTGTAGGTTAGAGATCCCATCTTATGGTTCAGACCCCACTTTTCTCAGGGGTTCCAACTGGCTGTTTAAATATCCAGTTGCCTCCTGTGGGTGCCCCGCCTGCCTTCTTGAGTCTCTGCTGCTCTCCTTACCAGTCAGGTTGTGCTAAAGCTGATTCTTCTGTCTGTCCGAGGTTATAAGGCTCCTCTTTCACTATTGTTCAATTGTTTGTTCCAGGTGATTTCTCCACAATTTAGTTATAATTTCAGATTGATCCTGCGAGGAGGTCAGTGTGACTTCCATTCACTCCTCTGCCATCTTGCCTCTAATTATTTTTCTATTCAGTGAGTAATATTGTTTACAGGTCTTTTATGAATGAAATATTTTAGATTGTCTCTGTTTTTCCCTTTTTCACTCTCTCTCTCTCCCTCTCTCTCTACATATTTGTGTATATATATATAAATACAATATATATGTATATATCCATAAACAATATAATATATAGTATTACTTTTCATATGTTTTAATATGACATATATGGCATTGTACTATATACATCTTCTGCAATTAGAAAATTT